ATAGCATAAATCACATAAATATGTAGTGTACAGATATATAATTTGAGAAATAAGAAATCAAGTGAACAGTCCCAAAAAGTCTGTGTAACTTAAAATAAAACCATATAAAATATGTAATGAACAGATATATACAGTATATAGTGAAAAAGCAACAATAAAGTGAACAGTCCCAAAAAATCTGAATATCTTCAGCAAGACAACCAGTGACCAGTGCAAAACAATCCTCCACTAGCTAGCGTGCGCGCTCAACTCCAGTCGTGACCTACAGAGGGTCATATAGTCTTTATGCAAACTCAGCGATGATATCCCTGTATCTCCCTTCGATAATTGTCAGGGAAACCCTCTTTAGTGGAGATAATGAATGCTCACAAATGCACCAGCAGTAGTAGCTTAGATGTCCCCTATGGGGGTATAGCCAAACACTCTTCTCTGCAATGGACCACACATGAAAAACTAAACCAAAAAACTTACCATGGTGTAGTTAATAAAACACATTTATTGGATAAAAAAGCAGAGTAACTACTTACATTAAGAACATGTAAGCATGTAAAACAGCAATATCAGAGATGGGTGCATTGCAATCAGGTGTACCAAGATGGCGGCTGCTGCCCGTACCGGAAATGACGTCACCACGCTTCCGTCCTACACGTTGCATCACTAATCATGTGACTTCCTCAGGGCTCAGGGCCCTGGAGTAATCATCTATAAAAGTGAGCAAATACCTCTTCTTTCCTGGAGTCAATTTTTCCATTGGATCACAAAGATCTGAATGAATTAAGCCCAAAGTTTTTTTGAGCTCTTCTGTGACTCTGCTTTGGAAAGGTTTTTATTGTAATTTTTCCTTTTATACAGCTGGTGCATTTCATTGTTTTGTCACATGGACTAACTTTTATTCTAGTTGCATAGTCATTCTCAGTTAATTTCTTTATTATGTCAGGACCTCTGTGCCCAAGTCGTCTGTGCCACGTGTGAATGCAGTTTGAATGATTTTCCTCCTTGGCAGTATTAACCACCTCATTAAAATTCAGCTGATACAGTTCATCTATATTTATAGCCTTTTGCAGTACATTACCATACTGACCCTTGTCCTCCACATTGCTGACTGACCGTTCTCTGCACTGATGACCTCTGCCCTTTGCTCTGATAGTTCCTGTCCTCTGCCCTGCTGACCCCCAGTACACTCTGCTACTGATTCCTATTTGTGCATGCTGTCCTGGTGACCTCCTATCCTCTGCCCCCCTGCCATTTTTTCTGCACTCTCATATAAGACCAGCTAGATCCGGCCCTGGTCCATATTTAGAACAGTACTAGGGTGCTTTGTTATTACCCCTTCATTCTTTTTTTAGCTTTTACATCTTTTGTTTCAGTTTTCCGTTTGGACTGATATTTTTGTTTTTTGCTTGATACTTATTGGCAGTGATAACAAGTGCCTACAAAGCAACCCTTTGTCTGATATTCTTCATCTGCAAAAGGTATCTATTTTTATTGCCTAAATTGGTTGAGTAAATATGGGAATTTTGTAAATAGCAGTGGTTGTAATCCATGTATATCTTTTTCAGTGAGCCTCTATATGGGCTTCTCTATCAGCCACCTGAGTTGTCTTCATGTCCAGGCTTATATATGAACTCTTTGTTGGTGTAAACCACATGCCAAGTGTTTTGCAGTTTTCAGTATTCTATTCAACCAGTTACACAATAGCTGGTAAGTTGCCCTTTAGTAAGTTTGGAAACATTTGTTTAACCTATGGTATATGTATATTGTTTTCTCAATCTCATTACTTATATATGTATGTTGTTCATTATGTTTTTCAATGTGTTTAATACATCCATTGTTACATTCTGTAATTTAATATGATTTTTTGTTATAGGTGGTATATGCAATATCCCCTGAAAAAGCCTTATTTAGGTTTCTTTTTTTTTTTTTTAATTTAAATATTTATTGATTTTCAAAATGTTAGGAAAGATAAAATCCACAGTACAAATTCTTTACAGTCTCATAAAAAAAAAAAACATAAACAATCATTTCCCATATTTTCCTTGTTTCTCCCATCCCCCCCCCCACTAACAAAATCTCTAATTTCATTTAACATTACTATATAATTTGATTTATAAAGATTTTTATATGCCGAAGTGAGTTTTACCCCCAAGTATTTTAATTCTCTCTCTTTCCACACAAAGGGAAATTCCCCTTGTATCCCCCTTTTTTCCTTATTTGGAAGATTTATATTTAATATCTCAATTTTAGCCGGGTTGATTTTTAAATTTGACATCTCTCCATATTCCTTCAATGCCATCATTAAATTAGGGAGCGTTATCCTAGGATTTCCGACATAAAACAATAAATCATCCGCAAAAGCGGCAACCTTATGTTCTATATTTCCTATACATATTCCCTTTATGTCTGAATTTTTCCTTATTGTTGACAACAGTGGTTCCAAGGACAAAACATACAACAATGGGGACAGCGGGCAGCCCTGTCTTGTTCCGTTTGTCATCCCAAATGACTGCGACATCTCCCCATTTGCCATAACCACTGCGGAGGGACTCCTATACAACTTTCCTATCCATGCTCTCATTCTAACTCCCACTCCCAGGACCTCCAATGTATCCATCATGAATCCCCAGTTAACTCCACAAAATGCCTTCTCTGCATCCACTGAAAGAATCAATCCACTGGAGTCCTTTCCTTTCTACTCTTCTGAATAAGCAGCAAGGATCTCAACCCATTGTCTCTGCCCTCTCTCCCTTGAACAAAACCCACCTGATCTTCATGTATCCATTTGGGCATTAAATCTTTCAGCCTATTTGCTAAGATCTTTGCATATATCTTCATATCTGTATTCAATAATGTATTGGTCTATAGCTTGAACACTGGGCGGGATCTTTTTTCCTTCCTTGTGAATAAGGACCAACTGAGCCTACAGGGATTCTCGCCTCATATCTTCATCTCTCCCCCCAAGGCGTTGAAATAGGACTTCAATTTAGATATTAGCTATTCACTGTATTTTTTATAATATCTAACAGTGTATCCATCTGGCCCTGGGCTTTTACCCGTCATGGAGCTTTTTAATGCTATCTTTATTTCTTCATTTCTTCTTTATTTCTAGGGAGTTCAGAAGATCTTCATTTAATTTCGGTAGACCTGCATTTTTTATATATATCTGTCAGGGCTCCCAGGTGTGACCAGAGGTGTGTGACTGACACAGGGAAACGCAGACTTCAGATATGTTATAAACAATGTAATTTATTAACACTAACAATACAAACATAAACGCAGTGCAAATACTAAACATAATACAGTGCAAACAAACCCAACCAACCACCCACAGATAACAGTACATACAAGCAAGCATCGTCAGGCAGGCCGGGTCAATATTCAATTGGGCAGGTAGGTACAGGGGGAGCAAGTGGAGAATGGTCGGGGTCACAGGCCAGGTTCAGCAGGTAGCAAGCAGCGTAGTACAGAGGGTCAGGCAGAGGGATGGTCAGAGTCACAAGCCAGGGATCAGAACAGGTAGCAAGCAGCGTAGTACAGAGGGTCAGGCAGAGGGATGGTCAGGGTCACAAGCCAGGATCAGAGCAGGAGAAGTCAGCAGCAGTTTATATCAGGCAGGGTCAGCAAAGGAACAGAAACAGGATGCAGGACAGATACAGGGCCCAGGACAAACACAACACCAAGGCAGAGTCTGTGGGTCTGGCCATCCCTTAAATACCCCAGCATAATCAGTTCCAGGTGTTAGCTAGCTGCAAAGTTGAGTCTCTGATTGCTGGGGAGCATCCGCTGGCCAGCCCTGGTACTGCAGATCAAAAGGCAGGTGAGTCCCACCATTGCTGGCCAGTCCATTCCTGACAGTACCCCCCCCTCAAGGAGCGGCCTCAGGACGCTCCAAACAGTCCTAGCTGGGAAAAAATGTTCCACCGCCCGGGTTCTGGTAACTGGCGGTGATATCAAAGACTGGCACACCGGGCAGGACTCCTGGCAGCGGTTACACCGGGCAAAGGCACATCGGGCTGGACTCCGGGCAGAGCCACACCGGGCAGAGGCACATCGGGCTGGACTCCGGGGCAGAGGCACATCGGGCTGGACTCCGGGCAGAGGCACATCGGGCAGGACTCCGGGCAGAGGCACATCGGGCAGGACTCCGGGCAGAGGCACATCGGGGCAGGACTCCGGGCAGAGGCACATCGGGCAGGACTCCGGGCAGAGGCACATCGGGCAGGACTCCGGGCAGAGGCACATCGGGCTACCAGGCGAAGCAGCAAGCAGCGGGCCACTGGGTGGGAGCGGCAGGGCACCGGGCCCCCGGGCGGGGCGGCAGGCACCGGGCCCCCGGGCGGGGCGACAGGGACACCGGGCCCCCGGGCGGGGCGACAGGCACCGGGCCCCCGGGCGGGGCGACAGGCACCGGGCCCCCGGGCGGGGTGACAGGCCCCGGGCCCCCGGGTGGGGCGACAGGCCCCGGACCCCCCGGGCGGGGCGACAGGCCTCGGGCCCCCAGGCGGAACTACAGGTCTCGGGCCCTCAGGCGGAGTGGCGGGGTGCCGGACCCCCAGATGGAGCGACAGGCCTCGGGCCCCCGGGCGGGGCGACAGGCATCGGACCCCCAGGATCGGGGCGACAGGCATCGGGCCCCCAGGCGGGGCGACAGGCATCGGGCCCCCAGGCGGGGCGACAGGCATCGGGCCCCCAGGCGGGGGCGACAGGCATCGGACCCCCAGGCAGAAACTACAGACCTCGGGCCCCCGGGCGGGGAGACAGGCATCGGACCCCCAGGCGGGGCGACAGGCATCGGACCCCCAGGCGGGGGACAGACAGGCATCGGACCCCCAGGCGGGGCGACAGGCATCGGGCCCCAGGCGGGGCGACAGGCTTCGGGCCCCCAGGCGGGGCGACAGGCATCGGGCCCCTAGGCGGGGCGGCAGGCGCCAGACCCCCAGGCGGAACTACAGGTCTCGGGCCCTCAGGCGGAGCGGCGGGCGCCGGACCCCCGGGTGGAGCGACAGGTCTCGGGCCCTCAGGCGGAGCGGCGGGCGCCGGACCCCCAGGTGGAGCGACAGGTCTCGGGCCCTCAGGCGGAGCGGCAGGCGCCGGACCCCCAGGTGGAGCGACAGGTCTCGGGCCCTCAGGTGGAGCGGCGGGCGCCGGACCCCAGGCGGTGCGACAGTGGGCTCCGAGTCAACTGGCGATGACCGCTGGCACTAGGTCAGACATTGGATCGTCTGGCTGGACAGCGGGCATCGGGTCACCCAGGCATCAGGTCATTTGGCTCGACAGCGGGCACCGTGTCATCTGGCAAGGCAGTGGGCTCCGAGTCAACTGGTATGACCGCGGGCACTGGGTCAGACATTGGATCGTCTGACCGGACAGCGGGCATCGGGTCACAGGCATCAGGTCATTTGGCTCAACCGCGGGGCACCGCGTCATCTGGCAAGGCAGTGGGCTCCGAGTCAACTGGTATGACCGCGGGCACTGGGTCAAACATTGGATCGTCTGACTGGACAGCGGGCATCGGGTCACCAGGCATCAAGTATTTGGCTTGACAGCGAGCACCGCGTCATCTGGCAAGGCAGTGGGTTCTGAGTCAACTGGCATGACCGCGGGCACTGGGGCAGACATTGAATCGTCTGGCTGGACAGCGGGCATCGGGTCACCAGGCATCAGGTCATTTGGCTCGACAGCGGGCACCGCGTCATCTGGCAAGGCAGTGGGCTCCGAGTCAACAGGCACGACAGTGGGCACCGGGTCATCAGGTTCCGGATTGTCTGGCTCGACAGCGGGCATTGGGTCACCAGGTATGACAGCGGGCACTGGGTCACCAGGCATCAGGTCATTTGGCTTGCCAGCGGGCACCGCGTCATCTGGCAAGGCAGTGGGCACCGGGTCACCAGGCATTGGATCGTCTGGCTTGACAGCGGGCATCGGGTCACCAGGTATGACAGCGGGCACTGGGTCACCAGGCATCAGGTCATTTGGCTTGCCAGCGGGCACCGCGTCATCTGGCAAGGCAGTGGGCACCGAGTCACCAGGTACGACAGCGGGCTCTGAGTCAATTGGCATGACAGCGGGCACCGGATCAGGTACCGGATCATCTGGATCAACAGCGGGCATCGAGTCAACTGGCCTAATAGGATCGTCAGGCTGGATCAGTTCATCATGCTGGGTAGAGGCATCAGGCTGAATGCCGGCGTTCCGGCTGAGTAGAGGCTTCAGGCCGAGTAGAGGCTTCAGGCCCGAGTAGAGGCTTCAGGCCGAGTACAGGCATCAGGCCGAGTACAGGCATCAGGCCGAGTACAGGCATCAGGCCGAGTAGAGGATTCAGGCCGAGTAGAGGCATCAGGCTGCGTACAGGCATCAGGCTGAGTAGAGGATTCAGGCTGAGTAGAGGCTTCAGGCTGAACCACGGAAGGCAGGCTCACCGGTTTGGATACTGGCAGGATGGTATTGGTTGGAAAGAATTTTCGCTTTTTTCTGGTTTTAACTACTGGAGCACTGCAAGTAAACGCAGGTCTGCAAACAAATGGAGCAGCTGGAGACAGAGAAGAACTGGAGGATGGAACAGGAGAGGGAGCAGTTGCTACAGAGGGCTTTTTTACAGGGTTAAAGGCAGGATAGGTGCAGCGAGTGGGAACAGGGTACTGACATGCGGTAGATGTAACTGGAGGAGCTGTTGGGAATACAGGAGAAGAGTTAGAAGCAGGACTGGGTTTTTGTAAGCTGACTGAGGCTGGGTGCAACAAGTCTGTCCATGTCTGCAGTATGGGTTGAACAAAGCTCCGCTTACACAAAAAGCCTGTCTGGTCAATGACTGCACTGCGTTTATACAAACTCTTAGTGTCTGTGGTGAACATGTGGAATAACGCTCCAGAAAGTAATCCACATCATCCTCTAATAACCACACCAGGGACTCTACCTGGTCTGCACTAAATGGTGGCAAAAATTCATCCCTGCATTCGGGGGTACCAGATGAAACCAACTCTGCACAAACCTCAATCAAAGGCTGCACCTCAGAGAACTCTGTGCCCTGATCTACTAGAACATGAGCGAGCCGTATACATTCTAGCAGTTCATCCCGGGGATACTCCTTCAGAGTCTGATAAGCATACTCCCTGTCATCAAACACTAGCAGATATAAATACACAACCTCATCCAGATCCATCCTTCCCAGCAACAAGCCAAGATGGCTTCCCTGTGCAGCCACTTCTGGTCAGGATTGGCCTTGGTGTAATGTCAGGGCTCCCAGGTGTGACCAGAGGTGTGTGACTGACACAGGGAAACGCAGACTTCAGATATGTTATAAACAATGTAATTTATTAACACTAACAATACAAACATAAACGCAGTGCAATACTAAACATAATACAGTGCAAACAAACCCAACCAACCACCCACAGATAACAGTACATACAAGCAAGCGTCGTCAGCAGGCCGGTCAATATCAATTGGGCAGGTAGGTACAGGGGGAGCAAGTGGAGAATGGTCGGGGTCACAGGCCAGGTTCAGCAGGTAGCAAGCAGCGTAGTACAGAGGGTCAGGCAGAGGGATGGTCAGAGTCACAAGCCAGGGATCAGAACAGGTAGCAAGCAGCGTAGTACAGAGGGTCAGGCAGAGGGATGGTCAGGGTCACAAGCCAGGATCAGAGCAGGAGAAGTCAGCAGCAGTTCAGATCAGGCAGGGTCAGCAAAGGAACAGAAACAGGATGCAGGACAGATACAGGGCCCAGGACAAACACAACACCAAGGCAGAGTCTGTGGGTCTGGCCATCCCTTAAATACCCCAGCATAATCAGTTCCAGGTGTTAGCTAGCTGCAAAGTTGAGTCTCTGATTGCTGGGAGCATCCGCTGGCCAGCCCTGGTACTGCAGATCAAAAGGCAGGTGAGTCCCACCATTGCTGGCCAGTCCATTCCTGACAATATCCTTCTTTTTTCAATAGTTGCTGTTCCATCCTTATCTATTAAATCTTGGGGGGCAATATTATAAAGTTTACTGTAATAATCCTTAAACACCTTCGCAATATCTCTAGTTGAGTGAGCCAGTTCTCCCTTGGATTTTTTTATTTTATCTATATAATTCCTATTCTTCTTTTTCCTCAAAGCTCTCATTAAAAACTTTCCTGGTCTATCCCCCCATCTATACCTTTCACATAACACTTTATTAAAGACTCTCGTCTTCTCCTCTTCCATCATATTCTCTAATTCCTTTCTTTTTTTTTTACTTTCTGCATTATCTCTTTTGTTATATTTTTTTAATGCAATTGTTCAAACTCAGCTAATTCCTTTAGGAGCCCACCAATTTTCTCTCTCCTTTCTCTTTTCTTTCTTGCCCCAATTGCAGTAGGGATTCCTCTTATATATACCTTATGGGCCTCCCACACTGTAGCCACTGACACATCTCCTGTTTCATTTTCCTCAAAATATCTCCTAATCTCCTCTCCAATCTCTGCTCGGTCTCTTGATCCATTAGAAGTGCCTCATTCAACCTCCATACCAACCCTCCTGGAGGCCTCCTTCCCCATCCCACTTTCATTACAACAGGGGCATGATCTGAGAGTGACATTACCTCTATTGTTACTTTAACCAAAGACTCTATTAATCGGTGATCTATCAGTACGTAGTCCAACCTAGAATACATCTCATGAACCTTTGAGAAGAAGGAATAGTCTCTTTCTTTCATGTGCATGATTCTCCAACTGTCCACCAACTGATACTCCCTCATCACTTTCCTCAGTAATCTTAGGGACTTACTCCCCTCCCTTTGTGCAGAAGAAGTTGTATCCATTTGTGGGTCCATACATAAATTAAAATCCCCAGCTACTATCAAATATCCCTTTCTAAAATCCATCAATCTTTTTAAAACCTTTTTCAAGAATAACTCCGGCTTCTTATTTGGGCAGTAGATGTTAGCAACTGTACATTCAATATCTTGTAGTTTACCTTTCAGGAATAGAAACCTCCTATCCGGATCAATCTTTCTATCCTCCAACTCAAACCTTATATTCTTTGCAAATCCTATAGCTACCCCCTTTGCTCTCTTAATTGGGGAATCTGCATAATACCATGATGGATAATATCTGGAGTTCAACTTAACGTTTGACTTCAATTCAAAATGCGTTTCCTGCAGGAAAACCACTGAGGCTGTTCTATGTTGTAGTTCCTTAAATAATTTAAACCTTTTCCCTGGGCAATTCGACCTGTTTACATTATAAGTTATAAACCGTAAATCTTCCATTTTCTTTATATCTTTTACTTTCCCTCTACTTTCTTCCTCTCCCCTTCCCTCTCTGCCCTTGTTACTCCTTTCTTCACGCAGGCTATCAAGCATAATATAAATATAAATAAACAGCGCAAAATTAGATTCTTAATCACTCATAAAATTAATAAAATACGTGCATAAATTAATAGTGCTTTTCCTCACTCATAAATAAAACACCCAAAAGTCCATGTGCTAAAAAATTCTTAAATTATTAATATAAATGTGTAAACTTCTTTTCTTCAAAATTTCTTTAGATGTAAAAAAGGAACTTCCACCTTCCACCCGTGCACAAACCAACATCAAATACACTCACCAGAACTTGGTGAGTAAAAAACCTTTAAGGAATTTTAGGGATCCTAAACCCTCCTTGGTGCCACACTAGAGGAAATCTTCACCATCCAAATAGACTCCACCGTTCAACCAGAAGAAAATACTCACATAGTATAATATTGTCACACAATAGTAACCTTTTAAAACGGAGATTAAGGCCACTCACATGTTAATCACTTGATAAAGGCATGTTTATTATATATAGTAGGCTTCAAGTCAGCAAGTATACAGACTCTTTCTTCCAGGAATCTCACATCCACAGTGGAACAAAGCCAGGACTCCTCATAGACCAACACAATTAACCAAGATGGCCACTGGAACGCACCACTCAGCGTGCGTTCCACTCACCGGAAATTATGTCAGGCGTACGGGGTGTGGACCGGAAATGCGTCAACGCGTTTCGCCCCTCCCATCGGGCGTTATCAAGGTTGGGTATTCCTTGGATATTTAAGGGAGTGAGGACGGGAGATGGGCGTCTTGATAACGCCCGATGGGAGGGGCAAAACGCGTTGACGCATTTCCGGTCCACACCCCGTACGCCTGACGTCATTTCCGGTGAGTGGAACGCACGCTGAGTGGTGCGTTCCAGCGGCCATCTTGGTTACTTCCCACCACCTCAGATACCCCAAGTCTAGTCAATTCGATATGGTCCCAGCAACTCTTAAGGCCTGGAAAAGAAGAGAAAAAAAAAAGAAGAGGGGAGAAGGAAAGAGGGAGAGGGAAAAAAAAAAAAAAACAACAAAAACAAAACCCATCACCATCCCCCCCCTCTACTCCCTATCTCCCTCTTCTAGCAAACTGCCACTCCTCTTTCCCTCTAGCTCCAAAATCTCCTTTTTCAACTTCCCAACCAGGAACCTCTATCATTTGTAAGTCAAGTCTGTCACAGAAGTCTCTTAAGTCCTCGGGGAATCTCAAATATGCTGTAACTCCATTCTTCCATCCAATTAAACACTCCGGAATACCCCATCTATAGTGCACATTCTGCTTTATCATCTGCTCTAACAGGGGTTTCAGAGATCTCTCCTCCATAATGTCTCTGGTGTTAAGTCCGCAAAAATCTGTATATTAATTTCTCCATATTTAATAATTGATCTTCCCTTAATCTTTCTCCATATCTCTTCTTTATCTCCCCACTTCTGGAATTGGACAATTATATCTCTTGGTTTCTCTTTTCCACTTCCTTGTTGAATCCTTCCTATCCTGAAAACACCTTCCAGGTTAACCGTTTCTGGTCTGTCCATTATGGAGTTTAAAATTTTACAGACAAGGCCTCGTGTTTCTTCTCCCTTTGCAGACTCTGGAACTCCTCTTACCCTAAGATTGTTTCTCCTATCCCAGTTTTCTTGTACTTCCATTTTGTAACGCAATTTTTTTTTATCTTTCCTGATATCTATTGTCCTTTTCTCTAGGTCAGAGATATATTGGGCATGGTTTTTAGCTCTTTCCTCTGTCTCCTCCACCCTCAATAATATCTGCCCCAAATCACTCCATATTTGCCATTTCTTGCTTTATTGTTTTTTCTAAATTCTTGAACATGTCAGCCATCTCTTTCTTGTTTGGTACTTGTAGTTCACTTTCAGTATCCCTCGTCTCCAAATTTTCTGTAGCTTGCTGGCTACTACATTTCTTTCCCAGAGAGAGTCTAGGGCTACCATCTATACTCATTTCCAGTTCACTTTTTTCACCAACACCTTGAGACCTTTCTGGAGTCACATTTCCTAGAGACGTATATTTTTTTATCGTACCGGTTTG